TAGGGACTTAACCTGCCAATATACGAAAGTCTTGTTGACGAAGTCTGAAACACAAAAACTCTAGGGACCAAACCTGCCAATATACGAAAGTCTTGTTGACGAAGTCTGAAACACAAAAACTCTAGGGATCAAATCTGCCAATATACGAAAGTCTTGTGGCCGAAGTCTGAAACAAAAAAACTTTAGGGACCAAACCAGCCAATATATGAAAGTCTGAAGTCTGAAACACAAAAGCTCTAGGGACCCAACCTGCCAATATATGAAAGTATAGGGACCAAATCTGCCAATATACAAAAGTTTTGTGGCTGAAGTCTGAAACCCAAAAACTCTAGGGACCAAACCTGCCAATATACGAAAGTCTTGTTGACGAAGTCTGAAACGCAAAAGCTCTAGGGACCAAACCTACCAATATACGAAAGTCTTATGGCCAAAGTTTGAAACCCAAAAAGTATGGGGACCAAATCTGCCAATAGATAAAAGTAGTGGCCAAACCCAAAGACTATATACTATTGCTAAGCCAATTGGTTTTAATAAATTTAATAATTACATGCTACAAATATAATTTAGCATTCTTACAAGTCTGGGCAAAGGACCTCTGTGCAAGTTATATAAAGAGTTGATAATATTTTGATGGAGTTTTTTTATTTTAGAGTAAATTACATTTTTGGTCCTTGAGTAAAGCAGATTTTTGCAGTTTTGGTCTCAGAAAGTTTTCTCTTGCAATTTTGATCCTTGTTTGAGGTTTTTGTATTGGTCTTTGTTTCAAGTAATATAACTATTTTTGGGACCACAATTTTTAAAACCAAATTACAAAAATCTCAAATAAGGACCAAAATTGCAAGATAAAACCTATTAGGACCAAATTTGCAAAAATCAACACCAAAAATGTATACTACCCTTTAATTTAGTGCCAAAGGGCAAAATACATAAAAACCACTATATCCTTAATCTATTGGCATCCTATTTAATAAATTGTTATATTTATTTATTTGTTTTTTTTTAACAAAATGATTAAAAATATCCAACTCAGACGTTTGGAGAATTCTCAAGATACCGAGGGGGGAGGGGTGGCCGTGGGCCCTACCGTGGTGGTCGTGGTGGTGGCGGTTATTATCATGGAAGGGGATACAATTATGTCAATAGGGGTCGTGGTGGGAGAATCCCTTCCCGTGATTATTAAAGTATTTATTGTGTTAAAATATTGCTTCAGTTTTTGGTTGTTTCTCAATGATAAAAATTGTTGTCATTTGTTAGAACTAAAAGAATGTTTGAATGCAAAAATAGCAATGCACTTTTTATACTGATTTTTTTCTTCTTAATTTAGTTTAACTTATTTGGAATCGGGTATGAGTAATGTAAATAATAATGAGGATGCATGTATATATGATTTTACTTTTATCGAGTTACGAATTAAAAATACCACATAGGGCATCTCCAACACTATTTTTTATGTAAAAAATAGTGTAAACATCTATATATATTTGACATTTAATTCATGCCTTTTGGTATAAAAGGTGGTTGTAGATAATCATGTTACAAGTATATAGAATAATGTTTTAAAAGTGATGTAAAATAATGGAATTCTTTGTAATGAAAATTATTTTTTGTAATTTCAATATAGTTTATTTTTTCAAACGTGTACTACACGGATATGATAACCTAAGTATATATATGTTACGGTGGGATACAATCTGTAGACATTTATTTGTTGGTTGACAAAAAATTACAACAATTATATAAAATTCGTCATCTAAAAAAGTTACACTTTGGTTTGGTTTGTATTGTTACTGTAAAAAGAAAAACGTCCGAATCTGAATTTCAATTTTTGTTTCAAATGAACCAGATTTTTGGTTCAGACCAAACCATGGATGGTAATGAGAAGCTTCAATTTGGTGTTGTTCGGTTTAGGTTTGTTATTTAAATAATTATTTTTTAATAAAAAAATGTCAAGTATAAAATAAAACAATTTTAATATTTCAGTTAATGAGGTTTCTTTGTGTTTGTGGTAGAATTAAATTATTTTATCATGACTAGAATGGATTCTAAAAATAGATAACTCGTTTCAATACGTAAAAAAAAAACAATCGAAGTTAATTGATTTAGACATTTTGATTCAGACTGTACTATTTTATCATAAATTTGTAATTATATCTTTTGATTTGATATCACTCTATGTTTTAATAGTTCAAACTTACGTGTAGACCCGACAATGGAGCGGGTTTAAAGCGAATCGATCTTGATCCAAACCTTTTAAGAAATTTCAAAATCCGATCCAAACCCGCTCCGTAACTCGCAGGATTTTGAATAATCAAATCCATATCCTTATCCACCGAATAAACGAATATCCAAACCCGCCCCGCTACCCATAGGTTTTTTGAATTATCAAACACATTTTACTTAATTCATAAAATAATATTTCTTAAATAAAACAAATATTGATTTAGAAAACACATTACGTACTCGAGGACTTCCGATTGAAAATAAAAGTCACTATTATAATAACTTCTAATTTATTTTTTACTGTCAATTGTAGTGATAGATAATAGCAATGATAAACTTTCTTTCAATTGATGAATGAATTTATTGATTTATGAATAAAATATGATGATTGCTTGATGAAATATAAATGAAATGAAATGATAATTCTTAGTAGAAGACTGGAAGTCTAGAAGTCGACTCCTCGATTCTTACTTATAAATAGTTTGGACTTTGGCATTTTCCGTTTGGACTTTCGACTGGAATTAGAATTAAACTTTAAGAAATATAAAATATAAACCAATAATTCAAAATTTATACGGGGAGGGTTATAAACGGAGCAGATCAATAAAGATCCATACCCGACCCTTTTAATAAAAGGGTTAGTGGGTATGAGTCGTTAACGGGTAAACGAATCAAAAACTATGCTCCAAACCCATATAATTCTAAAGGGTTTGGATCGGATTAGGGTCAAAACCCGCTCCATTGCCAGGCCTACTTACGTGTTACTCTAAATGTTTAAGGAGAAAAACGACTATATTAATGTATATTACACAAAATACGTAATGGAGCAAAATAGTTAAGAGTAGAGGTCTAACAATGGAAATACCTACAATTTGAATCAGAATCGGTTCTTGACTATAGATTTTACCTTTTGAAACAAGAACTCTCGTGTTTATAACAAAATATTTATCAACGATATCTAAAGTATATATAAAGCATTTGGGTTATATTTTCAAAAATAGTATTTTTTTTTTTCTAAATTTAAGGGGTACAATTTATGTAACACCAAATCAAACTAACAAAGACATAATAGTAAGCAAAAAACCTAACACTTTGAAGTCGTAAAAACTAAAACTCTCCCATCTCCAAAGTAAGGAATATGAAAAAAATGATTTCAGAATATGACCATAGAATCCATAGAGCATCCTCTGCGGATTGAGTAATCCCTATTGAGGAAACGAAACACCTCTATGGATCTTCGGTTTTTTATTTTTTATTTTTTCGTTTTTTTAAATTTTTTTTTGTTTTCGTTTATTAATATTAATTTTTTTTTAATACACTAATACCTTATGTGATTCTTGTGTAAAAAAATTGACAAAAAAGGTTAAAAATAATGAACTTATGTTTAATATCAATCCACAGAACTGTTTGGGAATCCACAGAACTGTTATCAGCAGATCACTATACATCTTTGCGGATTAGTGTACACCTCTACGACTCAGTGTATAAATTGTCATACCGGTTAAATATTGTATCAACTCACTCCGATATTGAAAAATATAGAAATGGCCTCCAATGCACTAACTTCTACAAATGCAACATCGTCGTCCGATACTCCACGTCCATGGACGAAAAGAGAGGTGATGATTATAATACGATGTTGGTTGAACATTTTTGAAGGTGTAACAACAATGGTTACCCCTGATTACCTTGGAGGTGATGAATGACACTTCATTTCCTTTTCCCATTGAATGGTTTCCATCACATTGGTTTTCTCTACGACATTTATTAATTTTTGTTGGATTAAACTGGTTGTTAACCACTGCTTGTTCTTCAGCTTCTTCACCTACCACCGTTAAATACAAATGCACCGTCTTCTTTGATTCAGACATTACATGTCTCAATTGAAATACATCAGTTTCCATCACATTGGTTTTCTCTACGACATCTATTAGTTTTTGTTGGATTAAACTGGTTGTTAACCACTGCTTGTTCTTCAGCTTCTTCACCTACCACCGTTAAATACAAATGCACAGTCTTCTTTGATTCAGACATTACATGTCTTAATTGAAATACATTAGTTTCATCTCCAAGCTCCATGACATACCCTAACTCCAGGTGTTTAAAAGATAAACATATATGACTATTTAACACACATGCCTTACTTCTAATCATTTGTAATAACATTTCATGGTCAATGTTAGGAGGAAGATTTAAACCATAGTTTTTCATATTATTTCTAACGTAAACATCATCTCCATTAACTAACTGCCACGACCTTCCCGTACATAAAATAATAAAAATTATTTTACAAATCACTCTTCACAAACACAATGAAAAACAAATTCTAATGGTAATTGAAACTCACAAAAAACCACTTAAATACGTCTATAACTTCTATAACCGATCTGCAGAGGTGTACACTGATCCGTAGTGGTGTACACTGATTCGCATAAAATACTTTTGCGTATTCCCTGACAGTTATGCAGAGGTGTACATTGATCCACAGAAAATAGTTCTATAACTGATCTTCAGAGGTGTACACTGATCCGTAGAGGTGTACACTGATCCGCAGAGGTGGTACATTGTTGTTGCGGTGTACACTGATCCTTACGTGGCTAAGTGATATGTAAAAAACCCCTTACCTGGACTTCCAATGTGGCACCTAACGTGTTATCTTCCCAATTATGCTATTAATTAAAACCCCAATTTGGACCTCATTTATTTCTTTCTTACCCCTTCGTGAAAGTCGAAGCAAGTACCCTCCTTTATATAATCAACTTGTTTGATTCTTCAACACAATGTCTGCGGGCTCGTCTAATGCAAGAAATCGTCTCCAAGTTGCTCGTGTGTTTGTTAAAAACGATGTTAATAACTGTGACTGCGATGTTCCAGCTAAGGAACGGACATGTTGGAAGCTTACTAACCCTGGAAGATGTTTTTGGAACTGCAACAACAGCCTGGTAAGCTTCGATCTAGTTTGATTTGTTAATGCAAGATTTTTTAGGGCTTCTCTATCAAAAACCCATTACATTACGAAAAAAAACCCTAAAAGTAATTTTGATTATCTTGGGTTGTTGTCGTGATTTCGTTTGTAAAAATACATGTACGATCGCGATTGTTTAAATGGTGTTGTAGTGTTAATCATTTTTTATTTTGTGGTTTCTTAAATTGCATTTGGTGATTAGTGATTATGTTTTGATGTTTTATTCATGTGTTTTGATGTTTTATTCATGTGGGTTTGATACAGACAAGACCGAGGAAAGGTGATTACTTTGAATGGAAAGATGTTGCACTGGAAGATGGTTACTACAAAAACCTCATCTATTCCATGAAGCAACAATTGGATTCCAAAGAGGATATTGGTGTCATAAAAAACTTGAGGACTAAGAATGTTGAGTTCAAGTTTCTCCTGAGTAAGCATGGAGAAGAGGATGTGTGATTCCAAGAAGAGCATACATATGTACAAGCTATTGGTAGTTGTTCTAGTTGTTGGGTATGTTTGTTTTGTTTTTAAGTTAGCTAATTAGTGGTGGGATGTGAAGCTTTTGGTGTGTCTATTAGCGTAAGGTGTATGTCTTGGGATGTAAAGGTTTTTTTTTTTTTTTTTGTAAAGTCAGTGGTAATGTGCTGCATTTTGTATCTTTTGTAAAATCCTAATGACAATTGGTAATTAGCCTTAATGTAAAGTCCCAACGACATATAACTGGAATGGAAAGTTTATGTGGATAGTGGGATGGATTTGTTTATGCTAATGGAAGAGTGCAAACATGTAGAGGAAAGGATGCAGATTAATAAAAATAAAATCGAAGGGCATGAAGAATGGATAAAAAAAGACTAAGAAGAGTATCAAAATGGCAAAAAGATCGTTTTGAAGATAAAGTAAGAATTATGGACGACTAGTCTACTATTCCAAATAACATAATCAAAACATAAGAAAATATTCTTAAAACAATAATCATAATACAATCAAACTCTACTATTCCAAATAATTTCTGCCGTCCTATTATGGTAACTAAATGCCATATCTCTAGGTGACTGGCATGTCTCCACTAGTACACCCGATACAAGCATTTCCATGAACATACACACATAAACTCCACAATCTCCTCTTTCTCCTTCTTCTACTCTTTCCTGCTGCAATACATGTTTAACTTTAACGAATTCCACTTTAGTAGGTTTCTGTCTATTGGGAAAATGGGACCAATATGATACAATCAAAGTCTACTATTCCAAATAACTTTAACGAATTCCACTAAAGATTAATGGAACCACATTACATGGGTTCATTTAAAAAAAACATATGAAATTCTAAACATTTGAGAAATTTGAATTTATAAGAAAAAAAATAGAAAAATATTGAATTATTAAAATTAAATTGTTTGTTTTTCTTTTAAATTAAACAAATAATTTTGATAAATAAATAATGGAAACTAATAAAACATTAACTTAGAAAATTTGAAATTAGAAGGAAGTCAATTAATAAAATTGAGATACATTTATTATTACATTTATTTTAATTAATTATTACATTTATATATTATGTGGACATTAATAAAATGAAAAAAACAACAAAATGCCATGTGGAAAAAAATTAATTGAAAATAACCACAAAATGACATATGGCCAAATCAATGAGAGTGTGACATGTGACAAAAAGATCTTCATTTATTATGGAGGATATATATATATATATATATATATATATATATATATATATATATATATATATAAATTTAATATTATATGATATATATAAATAAATATACTAACCCAATCAATTTCCTTCTAATGTGGTCCATGAACCATCTCAACTGCTACACGCCTCAAATAATGTTGTTTCCCAGGTTCCAAAGTCGTGCCTTCTGTGTGATGCACAAACCTCAAAGCTTCTGGAAATGTCTCCAAAATCCATACTTAGTATTACGACAAAAAATTATTCTTTGTCCAAACTTATAAGCACTTAAAAAATATAAGTAATTTCACCTAAAACTAACCTTAAACAGAAGCTGAAAACCGGTCACTGTATACTTCATCATCTTTGTGTAACCCACACTCTCATTATCTCGTAAATATCTTTTTACCAAACCATAATCGTAATTGTGTTTCACTATATCTCCACAAATATGTACCCCATACAAACCTTTTGTACTCATTATAATTAATATAAATCATCAAGTATTTATAAATAAATAATAAATAGTACATGTTCCAATTATATTGACTATCGTAGCTCATACACTGTCGGCGGAATGCACGTATTGCTGTCTCGTCCTATGAGACCCGTCAACAAAAGCATCATTTGCATAACCATTACCGCATCCTCATTGCTACACGTCGAGAATGCTGACCCTTTTATGTACTCTTCTAAATCTTTCAGCCGTAAATCTTCATCTCTCACATTAGGGAACAACTGATTCCTTAATGCTGAACTTGTGCTGACTTTTGTATTTATTATATCAACATATGGTCCACATCTCAAATCGCTAATCAAACAAAATTTCGTTTCACCATATTCAACCACCCTGCCTGTAACTCGAATCGAAACGTCCCAATCCTGGCTACATCTACATCACGAACCTCATGCAACATCATTAAATGACAGAGCATCGGTTCATCATTCGGGGTGGACATACCAATGAACATCCCAAAAGCTGTCTCTCGAAATAATTCAACTCGCATACTATTTAGTTTTGTAATGTACTTTTTAAACACAGTCCCTAACACCCCTCTAAAAGTACATTCTGCAGACCAACCACGCAAACTATGCTGCAAAAGATTAAACATATATGCCAAAATTAAAAAAATAATACCAAAAAGTAACTTTAAATAGCATTGTACTTTTATTTTTATAGCATTGTACTTATATATTGTTTTTTTTAACAATTTTATGCAACAAAAATAATGTTTTTATTCTATAACTTTTTATACAATGGTCTATGTGAATAATTATCTTTCAAAATAAATTGTCCCTTTTTTGTAACAAATTTACAGAATTTTATAGATATGGTCCTATATATATATATATATATATATATATATATATATATATATATATATATATATATATATTATAAAATATATATAAATGGTCCATTTTAATAATAATTATAGAAATTTTTAATGTTTTTTTTAAATTACAGAAATAATTGGAAATCGATTTTAAAATTAATTTACATATAATCAACATAAAATGATCTCAATATTAAATGGTCCATTTTAAGAGATAATAATTATAGAAAATAAAAAAAAAACTACATTTCCGCAGAGGCATACATCGTTCCGCAGAGGGCTCCTCTGTGGATCTGTTCTTGAGCAGAGGACCTCTGTTGATCTGTTCATGACGAAAAGAATAGGATAAATCGATTTCTTATTTCACAAACTCCAGTTCTTACACCCTAACAAATATACATGTTTATATATTACATTTAACCTATCAATTTCCAGTTTATATAATCAATTTCTACTTCCAAGTTTATATAAAGATTAGGAAAAAAAATTGAAATATTACTTGAGTTCCATATCCATCAGATAACACATTGGAGTGTAGTTGCTCAACGAATCGAGCTCACCACGACATTTTTGTGTCCATTTCGATCACAAATCAATGTCCGCAGCTTCCTTCCGCATCTTCCTTTTGCGAATCGACTGCCCTAACCTCCTTCTGCGTTCAAGTAAGGAAGAATAGGAGATCCACAGAGCAATAAAGAATCCGCAGAGAAAAGACGATCCGAAGAGATGCCTCTGTGGATCCTTAAAACCCTGAATTTTTTTTTGTCGTATAGCGATGCCACCTCATTTTTGTAGAGGTGTGCATCCATTCTCAAAAACTTCAATTGATCCGCAGAGCACCCTCTATGGATCTTGTGGTCATTTTCTATGGATCTTGTGATCATTTTTCAAAACTTTAATTTTCATGGTCAAAAGGTTATAACACACCCCTAAATTTGGTTATTTGCCGAATAACCTCATAAAAGAATCAATAGAAGCGTTCGCCACAATTTAGGCCGTACAATTTATACAATATCAAATTAAAGCAAGGAAAATCTCCGATAAAGATATAATATTTTAGGTCAGTTTACAGTTTAATCATAACTTTTATTTTTTGAACATAAAAGTCCTGATTATTTTATATTTTGCCCAAATTAATGAAACATTTCTTATTTTTTTTTCAAAAGAAAATAATAAATTATCATATAAAATTAGATAATTGAGACTTTTCTGTTAAAAAAAACTAAATGTTGAGATTAAACCGTAAACTGACACAAAATATTTACACTTTATCAGAGATTTCCCATTAAACTAATAAATGCATAATCGTCCACAAAACCAAATTTCTTGAAGTTTTAGAAACTAAAAACTCCTCGATCTATAAATTGACAATATTTTCATTCAATCCAAAATGAAGGGTTATACAAGTGCTTATAAAACAATGAATAGAGACCTTCACTACAACTACACTACAAGTTACATTGTCTAATATATTGCAATGTTCCAATTTTTGAAGGAATTTTTTTAATTTATTAATATATATATGTAAGAGTGTAATTTACATTATGCGGAAACTTGTCGCGAATGCGTGTGTGTACAGTCGAACATTGCCCTTCTCATGAAGCACCTGAAAACATTTATAACAATCGGGTAAACGCTATACTTAGTGAGTTCCCCCAAAATATCATATCCCCAATACATATACAATGCATACACATAATGGTCTTCAACATAAAGCTGGTCCGCCCTTTTGGCCTTTAGCATAATGTTAGTCCACCCGAGTATATTAGCTTTTAGCTTGAGGCTGGACCACCCTCAGTTCCCCACATGATATATCAACATATAAATGGTACATCAAGCAATAATCTAATACTGCAGGCAACTAACCGAACTAGCATAATGTCATACTACAGAGCAACTATATCCTAACATATAGAGGATATATACCGGAGTGTAACACCCGTGTTCCAAGAAGGTTGGAAAATACTTAAGAAATTAAAATAAGATTTTGGAGGAAATGCTCAACCATGACATGGGGCATGGTGCCCACGACATGGCGTGGAATCTAATGGACACGTGTTTTGGGAGGTGCCACGACGTGGTAGCTACTTTAGCTCAATTTCGGGATTTTTAGGGCTTTCATCGTATATAAATGCCTTAACTCCCTCTTTAGGTTATCTCATTCAATCCTCCACCTCCCCATCTCGAAATCACAACCTCCTTTCCATGAGTTTGAGCTTGGTGAATTTATTTTGGGATTGTTCCCTTGATTTGGTGAAGTTTGTGAAGGAAGGATGTCTATCTTGGTGAAAGGGATCAAGGAGCGAACTTGGATCCACTATCTTCTCCAGATTTCTAAGTGTTTGAAGGTATAAAATTCTCATCTTGACTTATGTTCTTCTTGATGCAAGTTTGGGTCCTTTTTGGTATGATTTTGATCCTTTCCTTGGATGATTTGGAGTTGAAGAACTCCAGGCCCTGTGATGGAATTTCTAGGTCATATTTCAGTTGATTGAGAAAAAGGACCATGCTTGGTGTATTTTGTGTCCATGTGCAAGTTGAAACCTCATTAAGGACCTAATGGACATTAAGTGCTAGATCTAGCTTTGAAATAGAGTCTAAATGGATAAAGTTGGATAAAGTAACTTTATCCATTAAGTTATTATGGGGGAATAGATCTGGAAGTATGAGCTTAGATTTGAAAGGATTAAGCTCTTAATTAGAGAAATTACATTTTTCCATTAGCCATGATGCGAAAAAGGTAGCCATGGCGCGGCGAAGCCAAATATCATGATTATCCCATTTTGGCATGGCCATGACATGGTGTTGACTTTGACCCAGTTTGACCCTAAACTTTTAGACCAGTTTGATTTCGGGTCAAACTTGAAGAATTTAGGCAATTAATTAATATTCTTCCATGTTTTGGTGATAGAGGACTCGTAGGAGCAAGCAATACATAAGGGAAGTGCGTAGTAGTGATTCTGGGTCCTTCGTTTCAAGTAAGTTTCTCTTCACTGTACTTGTGGGTCGAAGGCACCAATGCCGACCCACTAGGTCATATCCTGATATATAGGATAATGCTATGCAGATTATATGTTAGATTGCTAGATCTGTATGATTACTTGTACTTGCTATCTATATGTTATCTGCTAAATATATCGACATAGTGTGGTTGGGTTGAGGCTGTACTGCTTTGTGTTGTAAGCTAACACACCCGGGGCAATCCAATCGGGAGATTGTGGGCTAGAATGAAAATCCAACCGGGAGGTTGTGGGACAGGGTAATCTAACTGGGAGGTTGTAGACCCACTATGCAATGTGTATGGAAATCCAACCGGGAGGTTGTGGACCCAGTATGCCATATGTATGATAATCCATTCGGGTGGTTGTGGGCCAGGGCAATCCAACTGGGAGGTTGTGGACCCAACATACAATATGTATATTTGTTTGGTTCTGTATGCTACTTTGAGGGAACTCATTAAGATTTGGCTTACAGTTTGATTGTTATCATTTCAGGTACTTCAGAGGTTAGCGGTAAGACGAAGGCTTAATCGTACAAATTATCCCAGATTTTTATGAGATTATGATATTGGGATACTTTGATTCATCTTTATAACTTTTGGAAATATGATTTCTAAATGCTTATGGTTTTGGTTTGGTTTCAAAAATGAAAATTTTACCTTGGTTTTTGGGATGTTACATGTGTTGGATTAGTGTCTAAGTCCATAACTATTTTGGTATGTACTTGACCCAATGGTGCATGGTCCTTTTGGGTTGCCTTCACCAAAGCAACTTGATAGGATGAATTATGGAGAGAAAGGGTTAAATATGATTTATTAATATATTATGGGAATAATATATTAAAGGAGAAATCATATTGTTTAATTAATATTAGTCAAGAATTAATTGATAATTAATTTTGTGGCTAAAATAGATTAATTAAACTTAAAGGACTGGAATTGTAATTATAAGATAATTGCAATTGGGCTATGGATTACCTTATTATATAAGGTTGGAAGAATTCTATGGGGAAACCCATTAGAAACCGTCCAAGGCCTTTAAGAAAGGAATCTATGGGCTGCTTAGGGCTTAAGTAGTCAAATTAGGGTTTCCTAGTTTAAATCCCTAATAACCTACATGTATAAATAGCACCCTTAAGCCCCAAAAACGCGGTGAACTGGTTCTCTAGGGTTTTGGACGATTTTGGGCAGTCTCCTTCTCTTCTCCTCTTCATCCTCTTGCTCTTGGTGTTTGTGAACCAGTAGAGGAGTGACATTTGTGACTCTAAGCTTTGTAAAGTCATTACAAGAAGGAATTGTGATTGTTATTGCTACATAACAATCAAGGTAATAACTTAAACCCATTATTATGTTAATATCGATTATCATATGCTAGAATTAGGGTTTACAGTCTTGGATAAATTGCATGTACAATAGAGAAACCTAGATTCAAGCATTAGGGTTTGTATGAGCACATAGGATGTTCTTATGCCCAAAACCCATCAACATGGAGCACAAAATATAGTGAGAAAACTCATCTTGGCAATGACTCGGAAGATTGACAACTATCTGGGCTATTCTACTGACGGATAGCACACCGAACAAGTATTAACCTATAATACTTTGACCTATTAATGTCACACCCCCAAACCAGAACGAGGGAATCATTCGAGGGCGGATGACTTCATGTAATACCGTAACAGTTGAATACATAGTAAAGAAAGTAAAACAACCATCATATATATAATTTAAAAGTTACATTGTTGATTGATACTTATTCAAAACAAATTACAATATGATGACAAAATGAGTTTTAAACTAATGCCTTAGCATCACTTCTCGAAAAGTTGAGGTTTACCAGTATGACTGAATCCCTGAGAAATACAAGTAGTTTTGAAAGAGTGTCAACAATTAAGTTGGTGAGTTCATAAGCGTTTATGTATAAAATTTGTAAGTTTGGTATAAAATCACTGAGTTTGCTTCTGGAAAATCCAATATTTTTTGATGAGTGTGTGGTAGTTTAAAAGTTCCAAAACTGTAATGCATTAGTAGTTTTAATGCCTAGAGTAATAGATTTATGCCTGTATAAAATCGCTAAGACATTTGATAACCCTGTAAATCAACGTGTTTTTAATACTCCATGTGAGTTTTATAACCATGCTATTGACCGAGACTGCCTGTAACAATGTTCTTCAGGCGTTGGAATGTTATGACGTTTGTCACCCCATACCTGCCGGTGTAACTGTAGCTAACAGTTTAAGTGCGGGATTGTCAATCCCGTATAGATCTATACACAAGTATCATGCTCTTCCTACAAGAGATTATGGTATATAATACAGGACTTTAACTGCATACTTGAAAGTACGTGAAGTTGAATGTCTCACAAAACTTAGTATCAAATAGATTTACGTATGAAAAGTCCATTTGTTCTTGTATATTAAAGTATTTCCTTGATATAGTACTAATAGTATGTAAAATCTCATGATTTCCTTGTAAACTAGACCTATTATAGTTTTTCCAAAAATGTGTTTCGTTTGTATGGTAAGCCGTAGTGTAGTGTCGACTTTGTATGTAAAGTATAACATTTGCAATAACATTATTGAACATTTATACTCAAAATATAAATAAAGTGTTTGATATTTATATAACAACATGTTTCATTTCAAAAGGACAAAGTGTTATCGTGATATGTTGCATGAGAACGTTTTCGTATGATAGTTATAAATCACATATGATTGATTATATAACAAAAAGTATAACAAAAGATTGGTGTTTTTCACACGAGAATAACTGTGTGTTTACTTGTATTTCCCCCTTAAAAGTGTACGAAAGTATTTACAAAGCATTTGAAAACGTAGTTGTAGGGGTATGAACTCACTTGATAGATCGAAGAAGGTGAGACAACAA